TTCAGAACGATTTTGAGTGTAAGGACTTACTGAGCTCTATGTTGAACACGTCAGACACGTAAGGACTTACTGTACTCTTATGTTGAACGAGTACCACTTACTGTATTCAATGTTGTTCGTTGTGCACTTTCCTGAGCCAATCTCCTCGTCTCCAGTAGGTTCTTTGCGTTTGTCCATACACTGAGCGCCGAATGGAGTGTCCTTACACTTTTTGTTTTTCTTCTCACATTCAGTCCTCACCATGTCGTTGGAACAGTCAAGGTCAACTGAAAAAAACGGGGAAGACGACAAACTTTTGATATGGTATAGCACAGAGATTTTCAAATCTTTCGAAAATTTTGGTATTTCTTATATTACGTGAAATAAATTGGCACATACGTCAGTGACATTGAAGCCGCACATATGAATATACTTTACAATTAAAAACCAACACAAAAAAGAACTCAGCCAAAAGCCTGCATACAACTAATTTGGAAATATACTCAAAACATAACAGCAACAAAAATCAAATTGTAAAACACAAATCTAAAAACTAAATAATAACAAACATTTCTTCTCCCTTCCATATTGTACTCACTTAAGTGCCATTATTTCAGTTTCACCATGGACAGAGTTAAAATGACACGAAAAGTACCGATGTATGAAATTTAAAAAGAAACGCCAGTGTATACAACATTTCGTGACACGCCCAACAAATCTCTCACAACGTAGCAGTCAGGAGCAGGTACGCTAAAGACCCTCCAAGGAGGCCGGCAGAAACCCCCAACCTCCCCCCTCCCCCCGCCAACCCCCCCCCCCCCCCAAAAAAAGAAACCCATTAAAAAAACCTCCCAAACAAACTAAAACAGACGCCAGCTACATCTGTTACTTACATGAGTCGGCGCACTTGAAACGAACTTCAAAGTCTGGGCATCTCTTTTTGCCTTTCTGTTTGTTCTTTCTGCACTTGATTCTGTTTTTCTCACATGCGTAGTCCAGTTTAAAGCCATTCTTCTTCTTCTTGGAGAACATCTTCTTGGAGTCAGCATCTCTGCATTGCATAGCAATGGGGTGAGAGCAGAGGCGAAGGCCATCGGTTTCCTGTAACAGAAATTGCAGAGCGAGATAACAGAGAGTTGGCACTCTTGGTGATGTGGTCATTATCATTATAATAATCAGTTCACTTTAACTTCCTTATCTCTCCTCTGCATTTTTAGTAACACCTCTAACTTTCGGAACTTTTAAGGCCTAGTTGCGTTGCAAGTGCCGTTAATCTCGAACTGAAACGAAACTGTGTGCGAAGCGCTAATTCAGCGGTCACAGCTCGGTAGTTTACAATCATAGTAAAGATCAACGAAACTACAGCACATTTTCCATTTTAAAAAGTCTATAATAATCAAACTGTACATTTATTGCATGCAGCGTTCCTTTCTACCCTGTTCATTTATGCCTTGTGTATTAAATAGAGACAGAGTTAGTTCAAAGGAACAATATTAAAGTTGATGTATTGTAGCGGTAGTAGGAGTATGGATTCGAGCAAACATAGTGTAAAGACATGTTTTCAGGCTTAGAACTGGAGTTAAAAGGCTGTATCTTCAGTAACAACAAACCGTAGCAGGTAAATAAAGTTGATTACTATTCAATTTGAAGCTCACCAGTTTGCCGTTGTTGATCTGACGTGTGATCTTTTTGAGAGATTCCTCGTTGTTCTTCTTTCCCTTGTCCAAGTTAATCCATTTGGACCACCTGACGTTGCGGTCGTCTTCTTCAACTGCCGAAGACATTAACAGTAATACTATCGATATCGTGGTATAGCTCAATGCTTTTAAAGACAACCCCCC